TGAGTGACAGAGACTGTGCATGACTGAGAGTGTGCGGGAGTGACAGAGACTGTGCGCGAGTGACAAAGACTGTGCTTGAGTGACAGAGACTGTGCGTGAGTCAGAGTGTGCATGAGTGAGAGAGACTGTGCGTGAGTGGCAGAGACTGTGCGTGAGTGAGAGTGTGCATGAGTGAGAGAGACTGTGCGTGAGTGACAAAGACTGTGCATGAGTGACAAAGACTGTGCATGAGTGACAGTGTGCATGAGTGAGAGACTATGCGTGATTCAGAGTGTGCATGAGTGAGAGTGTGCATGAGTGAGAGAGACTGTGCATGAGTGAGAGCGTGCATGAGTGACAGTGTGCATGAGTGAGAGACTGTGCATGAGTGAGAGAGACTGTGCATGAGTGAGGGAGACTGTGTGTGAGTGAGAGAATGTGTGTGTTTGAGAAAGAGCATGTGTGTTTCAGAGAGAGTGTACGCATGTGTGTGAGTGTGCTTGTGTGTGAGTATGCGAGAGCGAGTCTGTGTGTGTGAGAGTGAGAATGTTTGTGTGTGAGAAAGTGAGAAAGTTTGTGCGGGAAAGAGTGAGAAAGTTCAGCTGGGAGAGTGAAAATGTTTGTGTGCGCGAGTGAGCGTGTGTTTCAGAGAATCACAATGTTTTTTGTGCGTGTGAGAACATTTGCGTGAGAGTGAGAATGTTTGTGTGTGAAAGTGAGAACATTTGTGTGTGAGAGAGTGAGAATGTTTGTGTGCATAAGCGTGAGAACATGCATGTGAATGTGACAATGTTTGCGTGCGACAGCATGAGAATGGTTGGTGTGTGAGACAGTGAGAATGTTTGTCTGAAAGTGTGTGGAAGTTTGTGTGTGTGAGTGAGAATGTTTGTGTGAGAGAGTGAGTAAGTTTGAATGTGAGAGAGAGAATGTTTTGTGTGTGAGAGAGTGGGAGTGTTTGTGAATCCAAGAGTGAGAATGTTTGTGCCTGAGAAAGTGAGAAAGTTTGTGCGGGAGAGAGTGAGAATGTTTGTGTGTGTGAGAGCAAGAAAGGCTGTGTGCGAGAGCGAGAAAGGCTGTGTGTGCGAGAGTGAGAAAGGCTGTGTATGCGATAGCGAGAAAGGCTGTGTGTGTGAGAGCAAGAAAGGCTGTGTGTGTGAGCGTGCGATTGGTGTGTGAGAGCGTGTGCATTTGAGTGAGAATGTTAGTGTGTGAGAGAGTGTGTATGTGGATAGTGAGAAACTGTGTGTGTGAG